ATGTTATGGGTACCAAGTCACATCGGTTTACTGGGAAATGAGCAGGCGGATTTAGCGGCAAAGTATGCTGCTTTTGCTCCTCTAATTATGGATGATATCATGGAAAAGTTGGATCTTCAAAGTTACATTGGAAGAAAAGTTAAAGAGAAAATTACAGAAGGAAATTTACAACACCATCATCAACACTACTCTTTTATTAACCCTCAATTAACTCCACTTTTATATCCAACAAACGTTGAGAAAACCAAGATCCAAACATTCTCGAGAATTCGCCTTGGTCATACAATTGCAACTCACCAATGGATCCTAAAGAAGTCTTCTTCCCCAATCTGCTGTTGTGGACACACTCTTACTATAAAGTACATTCTCTGCGATTGCCTCAACTTTTCCTCGGCTAGAAGTATTGCATTTGGAACGATTAACCCTTTGAACATTCTACAATCAGCTTCAGAACAGAATATCAATTCAATATATTACTTTTTTAATACTACTAAGTTCACTATCTAATATCCATTTATTTAAATTAGAGCCGATAGCCCGTGTTGCTAGTGCTCAATGTCTTTTTTCTAGTCTAAGAATTCATTTCATTAGTCTAAAATTAAAATAATAATAATAATAATAAAACTAAAAATCATGAGTTCTTCTTTCTAAATAAAAATATAAATTTTCTCTCTGCTGTGCCAAAAAAGAGATTATTTTTAAAACCAGTGAACATAAGACGCACATAAAAAAAAAAATTGTTTTTAAAGATATACAAGAATATATGTACCAAAAGAAATGAAAAGAGTATATAATATCGAACATTAGTGTTAACGAAATATTGGTCAGGTTGATACTATTAACTTTCCACTAGGTATAAGTTGGCAAGTAATACAAGGATTAGGCAAGAGACAAGGACTATAGGAGCATGTAATATATGCGTTAAAAATAAACAAATTATTTTCAACACATACAAAGTTAACCAATGCATATAATACAGGACAAACCACAATTGAGTGCAAATAATAGTTAACTACAATTAACGCTCCTTCACCAGTTTTGTGCAACCTGTCGAATTTAAAAATCTGAAACTCAGAACGGCTAATTTCGCCCTCAAAATTCTTGGATTAAGCTAGGTTTCTGGAGATGCTACAACAAGACGTTAAGAAACGTATTAAGTAATTTCAAGTCAGTTCCTCCAATACCATAGGAACGGTATTCCCTATGTGGCATACAAATCATTTAATAAAAACGACCTCAGACGGAAATATTATAGACACATTTCGATCAAGCAAAGAAAGAAGCAATGTCTCTCCGACGAGGTGAACTAAGCTTGTAAATACTGGATTTCTGTACATCTTTCTCATAAAACTTCGCACTTCCATACTTATCAATCGCTTTCTCTGGAGTACTTATCGACAACCACGATATAAACATCGATGGGCAGATAGCACCAAGAGTTGATTCGTATACAGTTTTAGGTCCACAATCATTTCGTAGTTCATTAGCGCCATAAACGGATAGAGAAGCAGCACCGTTACCTGAATTCAGACCAGGCGATCCAACGTTCACCAAATCGTGTGCACAATCCGCTCACAGAGCCAGCAAGCAATATATTGCTCTCTACCGGGACCAGATTTAATCAGACACTTCTCAAACGAGTATCAAACTCTTGTATCAAACTCGTTTATTTACCTTTTGCTATTATTGATAATAGTAATTGAAAACGAGCTGTAAATAGATGTATGGTACTTAAAATCAATAAAAGCACAGAAACAGCTGATTGACAACACACTGTTTATCTTAGAGTTTATATTTATTGTTGTACCTGTTACCATTGAAATATGATATTGTTGATATTACTCTTGATATTATAATTATATTATTATGCTGTTACCTTTATTTTTATTGCCTATGTACTTGTTACAATTTTTTCCGATATGTTATTGTTGATTTTGGTTTTGACGTGCTTCTGTTTACAGAATTGTTTGCTACGTTAACTTTTGTTCAAGTAATGACACAGTTAACCATTATCAACACCGATATAGCACCGATATTTTAGCTTAAAGAGTTTTTCATGTTTTAGTTTAATAAGAAGAGTTGTTAAGCTTTACTTAAGTCACTATTCTTTTTAGTTTAGTTAATTGTGGGAGACGGAGCATAACAAACGTACATTGAAACATAAAAAATTTATTGGCATTATTGTCATTATTAATTAATGGCAAATAAGCATAAAAGCATATAATTGTTACATTTTATGGGCCAGATCTTTAGATAATGATGCGCTTACAGAATAGCGTAGTATAGCGCGGTGAGTAAACTTTTGATATGCAATTTCCTGCTTGCGTGTTATTGTTTTGTATGTCCCCAGTGCATTATATGTACGGCATCTGAGAACGATATTGCGATTACAGCTAAGAAGCGCAAGTAAGTACACGTATGTGATTTATTATTTAAAAAGTTTAACATCTGTTTTCCTTTTGCTAGGTGTAACTGGCAAAATGAAGGCCAAAAAAGGAAGGCGCTGTTGGACACAGGCGATTTGCTACAGAGGCAAATCGATCGTCTCTTTCAAGAGACGGTCCAACAAATATTAAGGAAGGAAAATCAATTATCAAGGGGGGAAAAATGGCGGTTTTCTTTTTCGCGAGATCGCAAGTGATTTCCTTTTTGCCCTAATCTGATCTTAAGGATGATCATTTTAATAAAAAGTTGAAATGCCATCCCGAAAGTATGAATAAATTAAAACTTTGCTGTTTTCTACGTCTGGGAGAAAAATTAATTTACAATTTTGCGCGCTTTTGGTTTTATAAAAAGGTGGTCCAAAGAGCTTGATGATCCCTACATTACGAAAAGGCTGTACATGTGTTTGGTTAGACCTATACTTAAGTATGCCTCTGTTGTGTGGTGCTACGTAGATTCAATTGAATCTGTTCAAAAGCAATTCTTGCTGTTTGCCCTTAGAAATTTGGGTTGGGATCCAATGGCCTCTGTTCCTCCGTATGAAAATAGGTTGCTTCTGCTGTCCTTACCGTCTCTTGAGAAACGTAGGTTTGTTCTTGGCGTTTCCTTTGTAATCAAAGTAATGACACGCCTTCATTACTTGGTGAAATAAGCTTTAATGTCCCTAACCGCTTCTCTAGGCACTTTATCTTGGTTAAGCTTAGTCAGTGTAAATTTAATTATGAGCTGTTTAATCCGTTCAGAGTCGTTTGCAAGAACCTAAATGACGTCTACCACTTATTCTCGTTATCGGACTCTTTAATGTCCATTAAGCAACATTGCTTAATACGCGCGATTTAGCTATGTCGTACTTAAACTAGCTTTTAATCTTAAAATGTCGTTACGATTCAAAAATGAATTATTGTTAATTATTATCGGTTGCCAGGCTTATGTATGTTTGCGATGGCTTAGGGGTTCATTTGCAATTTGGTCCTGTACCGGTTGTAAGTGTGGCTCTATGCTGATAGTGTACATGCTTTTTTATTTATTTTTTTCTTATTTGTTTTATTATACTTACGCTAAATTTTATTATTAATTAATACAAGTTTTGCATTATGAGCCAATTGAACTCGACTGTTATTTGTTTAGTTGAGTTTCTAGTATAAGTAGAATTAAAATAAATAAATAAAATAAATAAAATAAATATAACACTCATTTTGTACATATACGTAAACGTTGTTGTGGAGCTATAAAATTAGCTCCATTTAAGGAGCTATAAAATTCATAGAAAATTAACTTCTTCCGAAGGCATCATTCTGCCGTTTCCCATACAAAAAGCGTGTTGGCCTGCTTTACCTTTCCATTCGAGTGAACATGAGAAAATCGATAATGTAGGATGAAATACATGAATTAAGTGTCTCCTTTAAACGTGACTATATTTGTATCGACCTTCCCAACGCTTTGCCAGCCAGAATATGTGACATATGGTTGTAGAAGTAAAAGAACCAAAATAAGCGTACACTTACAATAACAAATTAATGTACTACATTATTACTAATAAGTAATTATCGATAGAGAAAAGAAATAACGTAGTGGTGGACTTTACAAACAAGAAAATATACAAGACTTAAAACATTTATTTTTAAAATCGCCTTTATTTCGTGTAGTACATTTTCTACAATATAATATATGGTATAAATCAGATTTTCAGTTGATATAACACGAAAAAGATATAAAATATTAACACAATGTGATATTGCAATTTGATTTTTACTTTTTCAGTACTTTTTATATGTGCATATTCACTGGTCTCAATATGTTCAACCTTCTTAACCGGAAAATAGGTATAACGCATCATTGTGTTATCCCCCGCTACGACTGCGAGTTTTACTTTTCTCGTCCATGGGAAACTGTCTAAGATTAAGTTAGCATTTCATAACATATTTTTAAATCAGTATTGTGGACAATTAATTATAAATATTTGACTGATTTGTCAATGCTTTGCAAATAACCAATCTAGACTCTTTTTAATGGACCGCCGCCCATATGTGAATTGAGACGTTGCAAATATATTAATCGACGGTTTAGAAAAATTAGCGCAATCAGAAATGCAGCTGAACTGAAAGCTTTTTTGTGGCGTTTATTTATTATATTACCAAACTGAACACAAAAGCGTATAAAAAATTCCTAGACGTTAAAGAAATTTAGGTATATAATGAAAAAAGTTATTCCATAAGTGACTTTCAAAAGATTAAGTTGTCCTTCATAATACATAATACATAAAAGAATTGCCAATATCCCTGAAGTTAAGAATAAATTTTAAGAAAAATATAATTAGAACTATGTGCTCAGGTGAGGAACTTAAATCAAAAATCATGCTAATACTTATTAACTAAATCATAATTTTTTAATAATATAAACTATGGTAAAATCTCTCTACATATTTATATTTATATATAAAAGGGTTAAGCATTCCGTCGGATAAAATGGATAAAATTTTTGATAAAAACTAAAGTTAGAATTGAATGAAAAAACGGGAGTTTAAAGCTGAGGCATAAAAAAACAACAAGTAAAAACTTTAAATTAACAGTTAAGCATTCCTTTCAGATTATTAAGTTACCTTCAATTTTTTTGCCAATTTTTTTTTTTCAACATTGTTGCGGTAATTTGTATTGTGTTAGCTAATCTTGTAATGTTATGTAACCAACAACCCAAAACAATTTTATGCAAAAACGCTTGCAAATTGTGGGAATTTATTATCGCACTACTTCACGTAGAATTTTTCCTTTTTTAACAGTGGTTATCGGTCGTTCCGCTGTTAAACGAGCTTTTGAATTGCAATCGTAATAACCTACAATTAGGAGAAATGTTTTGTGATAAAAGAATTGTGAGCTGCGCCATCATATTTCATATTGACTGCTACCCTTATCACTAATCCAAAAAACGAATGTGACGCATTCATATTTTAATTCAATATTTATCTTAATAAAGTTTAGACTATGAAATTCTTCACTATAGAAGAAAATATGATTATTTCCAGCCGGCTTTTGCCTACTCTCTACACATCCTATTACTATAAAAATTTGTATAAATTCTATATAAAATTTATGAAAATAATTGTGCATTTATCTCCTATACTTTCTATGATCTCCGTTCGGCAAAATTTTATTATTTGAAAGCCACAAATTGGGGCCTCAGACACCTAGACCCACTTTCCTCCCATAAATAACATTCTAACACATTTCGGATATGTCATGAAATATTTTTAAAAGACGAAATAAAGGTTCTATACAGACAGTTTTTACATCGAGCCAGATTTAAGTAATAGTTTGAACGCTCAACCCCCAAAAAAAATATATATAAACATAATCGCTTCAGAGTTTGCGCTGATATGTTAACAATATGGATTACAAATATGATGAATTTGTAGTGTTCGATGGTTGCTGATAATGACGGCAATGATGATGATTATGAATATGCTGGTCTCGGTTTTATTTGATTATCGACAAAGGATATAAATGACGAAATTAGGGATGTTAAACAGAAATTACGAATTTACAAGATATTACAAGACAATCACGACGTGGAGATATATTAATATACAGTTAGGTATATATGGTTGTTAGCAAGAATAACAAGACAACTCTGAGGCATGTTCCCACAATGTATATATCATATTTCGATTTTGTCGCGAATACACCATTTATTCCAATTTGTTAGTATGCGGTTTTGTACACAGCAACCTTTCCAAACAAAAAAAAAAATTAATATTTGTAGAATTAATCTGATGCTGCTATTTACTGTATGCGTTTATAAATCATTTCGTTTTTAAACTATTATTTTCGGCGCAAAGATTTAGCTTGTCTCAATTCCTTTTCCCATTATTGGATTTTCCATTATGTTTCTTTATTGCTCCGTATAGGCAAACATTTTTAAAATATTGAGCATTGCTTTTACAAGGCGATTCAGGACAGTAATGTTATATTTATGATTCAATAGTTTTCCCGTACTGCACCTTATATATTGTATAGTAAGGTACGCATGTTACTCCATTCTTCCAATTTAATCACCCTGGATTTTAGCGTGAACTTGTTTATATAGTAAATTTTTGAAACTCATGTACATTCATTATTATAACAATGTTAATGCCTTGTTTCTTGAAGCCAAGTGTATAAACCCAGTTCTTTTTATACCTACCAATGGCAAGATATGGGTATACGCATTTTGTTTTTTTCCATAATATATGTAACAAGCTGCGACGAAACTCATATGTAATGCAATAAAAAGATTATCAAGCCCATTTGTCGATGCAGACGTTTAACAATTAATGTTTAGTTTTTACTGTTGGTTATTTCAAAATTATTAATATGTGGCTTTTACTTTTTCTCATTTCAAAATGTATTTGTTATTTTATTGACTCGAATTACTTATGTCTGACATCTTAAAAATTAGTTGAAAAATGACAAAGGCACAGGAACACAAACATTAAATATTTATCTACTATGCAATGTTAAAACCCCGAAAGTCGAAGAAAAGAAAAAGCATTAACAAACTCGTAATTAGTACCCAGAATTGTTTATGCTTTTGCTTTCTAAATATTTATGAGGTGTGGCATCAAATCAAGAAACCGTTATAAAAATTTTTGCCATTAAAAACAATGAGAATAAAGAGCAAGCAGTGAAATGACTGTCAACTAACAGCGGCGCTGTAATTATTGATAATAGAAACATCGAAAGTCTCTGAGATATGCGCGTCAAAAATCTTGAGAACTCTTGTTATTTAAATCTCCCTTGAGCCGATAGCCTGTGTTGCTAGTGCTCAATGTCTTTTTTTTAGTGTAAGAATTCATTTCATTAGTCTAAAATTAAAATAATAATAATAATAAATAATAATAATAAATCTCCCTTGTACTAACATTGTTTTAAAAATTATCCCGAGTTCGGCGTTTAATTAATTTTTTAAGAACTTGAATTAAGTCTACTCATTTTGCAAAGTGGCTAGCATTATTTTAATAGAATAAAGTAAGAGAAGGTATAAAAATTGCAATGTTCGCAAATGTTTACGGTACGCTATAAACCCGAAATTTCTACAGAAATCTCTATAATAAAATAAATATATATAAAAGTAATACGACCTATGAACTTAGATTTATATATTTTATTACATTAATTATTTCTATTTTATAAACGAGTACATATAAATTTTTATAGAAATTATAAAA